GAATCAAACAATCCCACAGATGAGCAAAATCCCAGAGAGATTCTAAGGTTAAGAGGAGAACTATTGTCATTGTTAGTGTCCTTTAAGGATTAGCCTTTGCTATAAGACCCTGATGTTGCTGTCCCCTACCTTCTTCTTCCCATGGTCTGACAAAGGAGAGTGTGTTCTTAGCCTCCTTGGTGCTGGTTACTGAGCACCCTGTGATGTTGGAAGCATGCAGATGCCCTATCTTTACTCCTCTTCCTTCTCTTGTTCTTCCCCCCACCTACCAGAAGGGCTGATCACCAGGGCACCATGATGGTGCAGCTTCAAGTCTTTGACCTGGTGAGTGATGAGCTAGAGAAGCAGGCTAGTGCCTGGAGGTCAAGTTCAGGGTGTTACTCTCAGGGCAAGGGGAAGAAGCCACTAGAGGGTATTAACATGGTACATCACAAGGTCTGCTTGAGGCTTGGAATCCACCTAGTACCTGTGTGTGCTCAGTGGGTATGGGAGGAGAAAAGGATCCAGACCCCGCCCTGTGCCTCTTCATTTCCCTAGTGACCTCCCTGCCTAGTCAACTTTGCTCACAGCCTGTGAAAGTCCAGGTCTTTGATCTCTGGGCTTCTAGTAGGTGCTGAGGCTATCTTGGTAGTTTGGAGAGCTAGGTGCTATGACTGTAAAATAGCGTGACCTTCTAGTTTCTTTATTGTCCCATCCCAATCTGTGGGTTTAAAAGAAAGATAACTAGGGTGAAGCACTTGAGCAGAAGTACTGAATAGAGTGAGAGGCTGGTCCCTTTCCCCTGGCATCACCCCTCTGGAGCCTTATGCTCTACTTCATGCAAATAAACACAACTCCAAGTTATAGAAAGTTCTGATTTAACAGATGTATTTTTCAGTCTGGGAGACTATTTATAAAAATGCACAAATACAGAGCTCTTGGAGGCAGCAGGGTCTGCATGTGAACATGGCTTAGCTGGGCAGCCCGGAAGCACCATGTGTGTTTGACGGTCTTCAGCAGACTGCTCGGCTGAGTCTGCACTGGGCAGACTCAGGTCTGCGGTCTCACCAGAGCCTGTGAATCTTGTCCTGAGAACTGGGAGCCCAGCAAGGAGAGCAGAGGGCAAAAAGGCCTGAATGGTGCCCAGTCCAGCCTGGCTCATTGCCAGTAGATGCAGGGTAGTCTGGGTGGCAGCTGAAGCACATGGCTTATGGGGAAGGGATCAGTGTACACTTGGGGAAAGATCAGTAACTGGTCCAGGAGACTTGTAACACAGGAGTCTGGGTGAGGAAATAACCACAAAGCTGAGGGTCTAGATGTTGGAACACAGTACTGTAAGAGCAGCCCAATAATGAGACTTTGTCTCTGCTCGCCACCAGATGCCAATTCACCAGAATCTCAAGGAGCTGCTGGCTGTCAGGGCTGAGCTGCAGAAGCGAGTGGAGGATCTGCAGCGGGAGGTGGCCACACGTGCCGTCTCATCCTCGTCTGAGCGGGGCTCCTCGCCCTCCCACTCAGCCACTCCTGTCCACACCTCAGTCTGATGAGCAAGGCCAGTGTCTCGGGCCATCTTGCTGCTCCACCATCTCCCAGGCGGCTCAAGAACCTGGCCATTACTGTTAGGGCTGTAACTTGTGATCTTGTCTCTTAGGATTAGGCCCAGGGACCATCTGTGTGGCTAGGTGGCAGCTCCCACTGTCAGTAAATGCTTTTTGTTTTGTGACCAGCCTGCGACCCTCCTGTAGGCGGGTTCACAGGGGAGCCACCTGTCACACACACCCTGTGAACCACCTTCCTCTCCTACAGACAGTGTGGGGGAAACTCGAGTGGATGCAGCGCAGCACTTAGGCTTAGAACATCTCACGCCATTTCTTTCCAAGTTAAACCCTTCATAGAAAAAACATCCTTCACTTGAAAGACCACACTGCCAGGCATGTGGCTTCTTTCAGCTCTTTGCCACAACTTGAAAACTGTTTTTAAATGAAATGTTTTGGGGAATACAGACAATTGCCATCTAGTCAACAGTTATCTTCATGCAAGGGGTCTTCCTGCACCAATTACTCTTGTGTACATATAAGGTATTTTTTAAAAAGAGAAACATGCCTTTATTTTCCTATGTCCTTTTTTATGTTTAGAATAGTCACCTGAGGGGGGATCTGCTTAACTGGACTATGTGATAAATTCTTTCCAAATGAACTTCATGCTGACTTTGGTGTGGCACATTTGAAATAAGCTTTGGATGTGGTCATTTCAATGGCAATGTGTTATTGACCTCAGCCAAACTCTGTACTTGCCTCCTGAGGTGGCCCAGTCCATTCACAGGGAGCAGTGGGTTCCTCAGGACAGCAAAAATTAGGTTATGCTGAGAACTCAGACAGCCGTGCTTAAGTGCTGGCCTCCCAGACAGCTCCTTCAAGAGCAGCGCCTATTGATAATTCCTGGGCTGTTTCTGCAGCCCACCACCTCTCAACAGATGCCAGGCATCTGTATCAAAGCAAGGCTGCTTTCTTGTCCAGTGATTTGCCTGGACAAAATAATATTTGTCATTTTATCACAACCCTTTCACATCAGTTTATTCACAAGACTGCCTGTCCATATTTTCAAGCAACCACTGTGCTATGGCTGAGGTTTGCTAGAGCAGAGCACACTCTTCCCTCGGTTCTTCCTTCTCAGAGCCAGCCTCAGTTAGGCAAGCTTCTCTCCATCGTTCTGCACCTTCACTTAATGAATTTAAGCTCTGTGATTCTGTGAGTCCTTGCAAGAATGAATTTATGATCAACTCTTAGCTCCTTCTTGTGGGGTGCCAGCATCCCTCCGCCAAGTGCTGTGCCCATTTCTACAAATCACCAGACCCCCACCTGCAACAGGAGGTAAGATTACTCTCCGAAGCTTAGAGGGTCAGCCTCGGAACTGCTGTTTTGCACCCTCTTCTGGTTGGTGTCAAGTTGCTGAATGCCACACAGAGTCCTACATGTTGACCTTACTTTTTAAAATATATTCCTAAAAAAGGTTTTCTATGGTCAAATATAGAGAATAGATTTTTTTTTCAACTTGCAATCTTCTGATTATTACAGAAAATTATCCTTCCAGAAGATACTAGAAATATTTATTGAAGATAATTTGATAACCTCAAATTAATTCTCAATTCTTATCATCTGGGGGATTTGTTTCTAAATCATAGCTTAATTAACATTTGATTTATGTTCCCAACACATCCAAAAGCTGATTTATAAACTATTATTCATTGATGCACTGATTTTTTTTTTAAATGGAGATATTTCCCATTTTTATTCCCCTGGAAAAATATAATTCCCGAGCTGTACTAGAACTGTTTTTATAGTGGAGTGGATGATGCTTTTGGCAGAACCAGAGAAGCCAGGAGTGCTAATTCTTGGTGAGGTGAGCTGGCTGGTATGGGTGGGGTGGGAGCTGCCCCCTGCCAAGCTGCATGCTCCCTCACCTGGGTGGTCTCTGCCAGCCAGATCCCTCGAAACTCCCATTTGATTTTTTAAAAAAAGCACAGCAGAGCATTTCCCTTTGTATGTTCCTAGAACAGAACCGTTTCTAAAACAACTTGAAGTAAAGTTTTATTATGTAAGCATCTTTTTTGTTGTTGTTTTATTTAAGTGTACTAGAATGTAAAACCTTTATGGTTCAGGTTTTTAAAAACTGGTAGAATATTGTATTTGCCTCATCTGATGCACTGTATTTCAATCTATCATTAAAATTACAATGTTTGATCCCTGGTCTTTTTGTTGTCACTCTTTAAGTGTTTTAGTAGGTTTTTCCCTTGGGGAAAATTAGTAGTTCACTATATGCCAACCACAAATAATATATGTAAAGTGGCTAAATATTCACTTACAAAATCATACATGTAATTAATTCATCAGGAGTCTTAAGTGTTTGGCTGGAACAGATAAGTACTCTGATTTTAAAATGAGAAATGCCCCTTACCCATAAATTTGAGGAAATGCTGAAGGCAGGAAAACTACTGGAAATACCCAAGAGTCAAGGAATGGGTCCTCCTTGTACAGCGTAAAACCTAAAATTGGCCTTTCCCCATTTCTAGGGAACTTCACGTTTTTGGAGCCCTGTAAAGGCCTGTGTGAAATCACACTGCCCCCTACAGATCAACCTTCTTATTAGGGCCTGAGATCTCTGACTGTCCGTGAGAAGCACTGCTGGGTGAGAGAACCTAATATTAGGCAGAAGATGCTCAGTGGGATCAATTGCCAGGCAACTATCCCCAGCAGTGACACCAGAGCAGAAGGCTAGGAGGGCCACTGTGCCAGGTCCCCACTAGCCATGTAGAACTTCTGCACAGGGCAGTCACATGGTGAGTTTGAGTTTGAGGATTTGGTGCTGTTTCACTACCAGACTAGTTTAGCAAAATGAAAAAAAAAAAAAAAAAACTGCTATAAATGTGAAACAACTCCAATCACTGCACAGGATCTGTGCAGCGTGTTCATGCTGACAATTTCATCCATCTTCTCAGTTTGTAATTCAAGCTGTGAGTTGACAAGGTGGTCTGCTGGGACTTGATCCCCAACAGTCCACTCTTCACAGGCAGATACAACGCCCCTTTTCTTGCTCAGCTTTCTCTGCCTGAAACAACTCACATGACTAGAAGTTTTGCTGGTGACTGGCTTTCTCTGAGGACAGAGCAGTGGGCTGGGAAGCTGCCAGGCAGTGCAGCCACGTCTGTCCTCCCAAAGGAGTTGATGCTACCTGGCAAGCTGCAGCATCAGGCAGCCCATGAAGCCTGGGTGTGGCCTCTGGAGGCTCTTCTCCTGCATCTGCCCTCCTAGCCCAGGATATTGGGCATATTATACTGCAACTGTTGTATAATGGGAGGCCACCCCCAGAAGCCCTGACACTAGGCTGTTCATGAGGAGGTAACTGCAAGAACTCTCAACTTGGAGAAAACCTATGGCTGGAAATGAAGGGAATGAGCTCAGCTCCATATCAACTCTTGTAGGAAAAGAGAGCCATGTGACAAAAGCACCTCAACACAATCCCAATACAACGTTCCATTTTGTTTAATGCACACACTAGACATTTTACAATTCACACTTGGACACAGCACATACAAAAGGATGTACAGATCGGTCTCCAGCACTTCTTCCTCAGAGAAATGATACTAACCCCAATCCAAGTGGCTGAGGCAGTGGGCCTGCCCCACAGCATGAGGACACGCCTCCCCACCAAGTTCCCTATCTTCTGGCTCCCTTAGCAGTCTTCCATGGAGCTGTGAGCTCACTCGCATATACTCAGAGCTAATACTATAAATGTTAAACTTTTTATAAGTTCTCCCTGCCAAGCTTGGCTGATAATCACTGTTCTCAATTGGCCTTTCCATATCACTCCCTTTTTCCTACCACCTAGGACCAGACCTGAACTGACTAATGAAGCATTCCTATAGACAGGAGAGGAGTTCCCAAGGCTTCTGCAGGCCACAGTGCCCAAGCAAGTGTCAAATGCCAGCGGGAAGAAGGAGCCCTTGGAATGATACTCTCTGCAAATGGGAGGCCAAGGACCGCCCAGGCCTGTCCAGGCACTTGAAGTTAGCGCCTGTGGGCCAAGTGATGGGTTTTATGCAGGAGGGCTTTACGCAGAAGGCACCGAGGTAGCTAAGGGAGAGCAGATAGGGCTCTTGTCACTGAAGTCAGTGATACTGAGAAAATGGTTTTACCGAGAGCATTTATTTTACATCATGGCTGCAGGGTTTCAACGTCTGTGCCATCAGATGGGCCTCTCCATAAAGGTAAGATGGATAACACCTGAGGTCACCCTGTCTAGGTGCCAACAGACCAGAGGTGCAAAAATTCTTCATAGCCACCTCCAGCTCAGCAATGGCCAGGCTGTGGGGCCATCATCTCTTGATGTCCTTGGTATCAGGGAGGCACAAATCTGATTGATGATATTCTCACCAGCAGTGTGGAAGGTCTTGGAAACAGGCAAATCTTGCAAACAATGGCTCCCTGACTTCCTGAGGCCCATTTCCCTTCCTTCATGTTGCTGCGTCCTCAGTGCTCCAGCCTGCCTTTCAGACCCAGTGCTGGTGTGTCTGGGCCAAACAGGACAGGGAACAGCTGGAAGGCTGCAAGCACTCGCTGGGAGTGGGCTTACCAGACCACCTAGAGACAGCACCACCTCTGAAGCCCCTCCGGCATGAATAGGCTTTTAAAACAACGGACACACACGGTAGCATGCATTAGATGGTGGGTGGGGTCTGCTTGGATTTCAGTGGTTTCCTTAAGAAATGGGAATGCCTCATCCCAGCTCAGCAAAGGAGCAAATGTGCAGCATGTGGAATGCGTGGGGCCATCATGCAGTCCAAAGACGCCCTGAAGTTTTGTAAATAGAATCTTGCCTGCTGGTGACTTATATTCTGCTTTCAGAATTGCTCTCTGGGAGGCTGGAGGTGTGGCTTAGAAGGATTGCCTAGCATGAGGCAAAGAAGCAAACAATTGCTTTTTGACATGCCAAACTGATAACCAGCACACAGGGCTCTATGCTGTAGCTCAGCCTCTGCCAGCAGAGCTTGCTGGGGGCAAGGGCTAAAGGAATACCATGAAGCCAGCTATGCTCTGGCCCAAACCACGCAACTTGGGCCAGGTTAGGGGCCATTCCTTGGGTTCTCATGTCTAACATATCATCAATGTTCCAAATGCTCTTCATCAGAATCGACAAGGAGGATAACTACAGAGCTACACAGGCAGAAGCAGCTCCTTTTCCTCCTTCCATACATTTCTTTTTCTTTCTTTTCTTCTACTTTGGTACCAGGAATTTAACTGGGATGTTTAACAACTGAGCCACATCCCCAACCTGATTTTTTTGTTGTCTGTCTGGTTTTTTTTTTTTGTTTGTTTGTTTTGTTTTTGAGATAGGGTCGTTTAGGGCCTCACTAAGTTGCTGAGGCTGGTATCAAACTTGTGATCCTCCTGCCTCAGCCTCCTGAGCTGCTGTGATTACAGGTCTGTACCCTCCCATACATTTCTAGGCAACTTCTATGAGCATGGTTCTGGTTTCAATGCTCGTTCTCCATGCCTGTAGCTCTTGCTACTCAAATGAGCTCATATACAGGGTGGGGTGACCACCCACCACCCAGTAGAAAACATTTCCAAAGCAGAAATGACTCTTAAGAATTTTACCCTGGCCATTCCCTCTGGAATCTGGTAGGAATTAGGGCTGCAAGTCGCAGCTTCCAACTTCTCCAGATTCTTATACTCTCAGGGCAGGATTATCATGAGATGCACATTTGCACTGAAGTAACTGAAAAGTCTCCACTTGTGCCAGCTCTAAAGGCCAGCAATGTAAAATCCAGGATTGGAAAAGAAAAACACTGCCCTGGGTATTACATGTGTGTGGCATTGCTTGGTGTTGATTTGTCTGCCCCGTGCAGGGGTTCCAAGTGAACTGGGTGCTAGCAGGACCCAGCCACTTACAGCTCTCAGAGGTCACTGCCAGAGTCAGCCACTCCAGTGTGTAGGGGGATCATACCACCTTTCGATTTATCACCCAAGCAGAAATGCTCTCCTTCCACGCCGTCCCCAGTGTCCTCTTGCCTGCTCTCATCTTGGTTTCCCCTCCCCATGCTGAGGCTGGGACAGGATGGCTCTGAGGAGCTGGTGACCCAGCAGGTTCCAAGGATGATGCTGGTAATCTGCTGGAACTGGGTCCTGAGTCTCAGTACCAAGTCTCTTCAGAGCGCCTGGGGCAGGGCAGACACCCCACCCTGCAGGCAGGGCACAGAAACCAAATTCACGAACACTCAAAGCTTGTCAGGAAAACTCACAACAATAAGAAGCCAATGATGTGGAAAGCGTAGCACAGCAGCTGGGGGTCTACATGAGGGGCCGAAGGGTGGTGGCACCCTTCATGTGTGTATGCTGCTGAATGGAGCCTCAGATTGAGGACAGTACGGGTTGCGAGGGCTCTGCAGACTGTGTTTGCAGTGCTGAGTATTTCACTAGGGAAAGAAGACATGTGTTAGGTGGTCTCACCTGTATCCTGCACAGAAGGCCCTGCTAGGGACAGAATTGTGCTTCCTGCATGTTGGGTCAGGAACTGACCCAAGCCTGTCCCAGACACACTTCCTCTGGGGCCCATTCCCTGCCCTGTGTCGGACATGCCTTGGGCCCTGGAACAATGTTCTGGGTGGGTGAAGGGGGAGAAAGGGAAGCCAGCCAGGCTCTGCAGAGCCCAGCCTCCACTTCCTCACCTGGAATCTGGAATGCTCCTCACAGGGTTACTGATTATTTTAAATAAAGCACTCAATACAGCACTTGGCCAGTACAGGTGCTCACTCACTCAATGGAGGCTAGAAGTCTTAAAACTTGTGATAGTGAATGCTACCTCTCATAGAATCCTTTTTTTCCACATTTGGACCCAGGGCTATTTTCATCTATTTGGTACGGCAACACCTTGATGATGACATGAGAACCTTGTTCCCCTTACACAACAGTCCCTCCTGATCTCCTTGGCCCCATCATAATGGCTGTTGCCCTGTGACTCTGGTCACAACACACCTGGGCTCTGCTAGTCTCCCTGTCTGTGCCATCCCAGCCTTAGCTGATAGGAAGGTGGCTTGCCTTCTGCTTCCTGAAGCCTTGCCAGGCCTCTCCACTGGCATTCTGGGCCACAGGCTATATCTTCCTGGAGAAGCTGGCTACTCCAGACCAGTGGCCTGATCTTATGTGGCCTCAAATTGCTGCTAGTTCCTGAAGCCCAAAAGTGCTCACTGAGCAAGGAAGGGAAGGATGAGAAGGTCTGGGTTTTAACCATGTACCCGCCCTGCCTTTGGCAATTTTCAAATCAAAAGGCTATAGATCTAGGTGAAAAGTCTTCCCACAGCTCTATCTAAATGTGTCCAGGACATGTCCCTTTCTGCCAACAGGGAACAGAGAGGTACCTGGTGCTCCAGCTCAGATCAATCAAGAGCAAGAATAGCAGGAGTGCCCAAAAGTCGCTGACATGGCACCAGATGCTCTGTCATCCCAGCAATGCCAGTCTCCTGAAGCCAGAAGACGCTGGCTGATCAGGCACACCTGGGCATTTGTGGCCTTCTACTCTGGCTGGTCATTCTATGCTTCCCTAGCCCAGTTCTGCTCAGTGCTGGGGCCACCAACTAGGAGACTTTCAGCAAGGAATAGTAACCAAGATGTCCTCACCTTGGGGTTCCTCACATACAACGGCTTCCAGGTTCTCCCCTTTCACGTAGTCTGCATTGAGACCCTCTGGAAAGGGTGGATGGCAGTGTTAGTGATGGGCATGGAAATAAAGGGGCCCCCTGTGATTCAGCACTGCTGACCGAGTCCTCCATTACAGTAGCTGCCCACTTCAGACCCCTGTCCTGGACAACCTGGACATCCTTTATCTCAACTGAAACTGTCCATCTGGAACTGCACTGCTCAGGAGTACTCATCAGTGCCTCAGAGATGAAATATTATGCATCAAAGGCCGCTGACACCCTGTCCCTATAGGGCAGCTCTGCTCAGAAGAGGAGGCACCAGACAGCAGGGCTCAGCACCATCCACAGGTCCCATGTGTGACCCAGGGACCAGGGAGGTAGTGAGAGAGCCAAGTGCCACATGAGTGACTGATGGATGCAGCACAGAGAGGGGGCAGATGGCTGAATGGAGCTCACTGTGGAGATGCCAACAAAGCCTCCTGCCAACACATGGCCTTCCCAGCAGCACCTGCACCGAGAAACCAAATGGCTTCTCCTGGCAGCAGGAATAACTGCTGTCCCCACCCAAGCTGGAAGGGCCCAGGGTCTACTGGCAGCTGCTCTAGTCTAGTTGGCTAACTAGAATGCAGAGATTCAACAAAGCATCCTCTTCAGTCCAGCAGAGGCTTGTAGTGGACAGCACACCTGCTGCTGCTAAAGGAGAATCCACAGACCTTGTCTCATCTCTTGGTAACCCAGGCCCTGCAGGAAAATTGTGGTTCTAATAGACCAATTGACCAAGCACTAGCACAAGTCACACTATCATCCCAGGCCAAGGGCTCAAGATGGAAGCCAGATGAGCCTTTGAAAAAATGCAGTCATTGCTCTTTGGCACAGGTGGCCAGCCCCATGCACAGCCAGGCAGGGGAGGGCCCAGCCCTGATGGGTGGGGGCTAGGAGATTGCCTTCTGCCTGTACTTGCTCCTCAGGGATGGCCACTAGGGGGCATCTCAGTGTCCTCTCTGATCCTGCCCCATCCCTGACCCCCAGCCACACAGGCCTGGGGACAGAGGGTCTGGCAAGTGGCATCCTCACACACATATCAGGGAAAGCTAAAGATGGTTGTGGTTGCAGCCAAGTTGGTGAGTGCCAGGGAAGAGGATGGGGTGGGGAGCATGAGAAAGAGCAAGATGAGGCAAGGGAGGGGGAGGAATGATGAGGTGTCCAAGGACAAAGCACAAGGAACATAAGTAAATCAAAGCACGTTGTTACCTTGACCTTCCGCTGCATCTGAAGGCAAGACACGAATCTTAGAACCCTGGAGTAAGAACTCAGCTCCTGGCAACCAAACTCTTGGGCTTTCTGTGAGACACACTGACCACTGGCACTGGAGGCAGACAGGGGAAGCTGACAGTCCCCAAAGCATGGGCTCCTTTGGTAGCAGTAGTGACCAAGAGCACCTGAGGCCCACATAGAAGGTGGAAGCAGGCCCTCCACAGAAACAGTGTCTATGAGGTTAGCCACCCTACAAATATCCTCAAGACTGTTTCTGATCCTGGCCTGGACTATATATCATTAGCACATCAGTACATGAAGCACAACAGTCCCTATGGAATGGACAGTCCAGAGAAATGCAGGGTTGGGGTGTAGTCAGACACAAACCCACTGGCCTTGCAGGTTCTGGCAAAGTCAGCAGGGGGCATTGTGGCAGCACAAAAAAAGTGCAGCCAATGCAGCCACAGGCTGGTCCTGGGGAAGGATTCCTGAGAGGAAATGCTCTGGGCCAGAGGACAAGAGGAGCTCTCTGGAGACAGAGGCTGCAGGGTGGAGAGGGCAGGGCATCCAGGGAAGCGGGTATGGCTGTAGAGAAGGCTTCAAGGGACAGGGAGGAGCCACACCATAGTGGGCTTTGAATGCCAAGCTCAGGGCCTGGAACATAACTTGAGGGCAGCCGGAAACACGAGGTCCAGGCATTTTAAACAGGTCCTTCTTGAAGAGGGAGAATTATGGGAGGGGAGAGGGGCAGGCAGGAGGCAGATGAAACCATCCAGCTAGGAGATGGAAGAAGACCTGGGCCTGGACAGGCAGTGGCCATGGCAACAGTGAGAGAGCTGTGGCCCAGAGGAGACACATTGGGTGGCACAGGTCCCAAGGTTGGGAGTACACAGGTCGGGCACAGGAGGGAATCCCAGGCCTTTACCTTCGGGAGACAGACACCCAGGGAAAGAGGGGGGTTGACAAAGAAGGGCAGTAAAGTCCAAGATCAACAGAGTGGGGGAGAGTTCCCTCTGGAACCAGCCACTTTGCCTGCTAATTCAGTGTGTGAAACCTCACACCTGTTTGTTTATTAAACAAGTGTGAAGACAATGTATTTTCCTTTTACCTTAGTGTCCCTGTAAACACATCCAATCAAGATGTTTATTCTATGTTTTGGAAATCAACCCATTTTCCTCCTCTCTATTCCTACCTGGGTGGCTCTGACCTTATTTGGTCACAAGATTTGTTCATACAGCTGAGGTCCAGAAGACCCACCCTGTCTGTTCAACCCAAGTCCTCTTGGCCATCTGTTGCCCTGCCCTTGCCAGGCTGAGGCACAGGGCTGGCTTCTCACCCACAGGAACAGTCCTGAGGCTCTGGGTGTGAATGAATGATCTGCATTCACCCAGCTCTAGTCCTTTTGTAAAATGGGGTCATCAGGGTCTACTTGGAGTTGGACCACATCACTTCATCTCTCAGGCCCCAACCTCTTCACCGTCAAGTATGAGAATGGACCTGAGTGGACCTGAGTGAGCTCACACCTCAGTGTTCCTCCTACCAGTCAGAACTCCAGGGTGTACTTTTCAGGGCATAGAGATAACTTGATAAGACTTTTCACACTCTAGTCAGTCATAGGGCCCTGGGAAGCTTAGGTTTGTGCCACCAGTCTCATAGAAGTCCCAGGGTTCCAGGAGAAGAGTCTGAAACCACTAAAGTGAAGTCTACTACTTATTAAGCCTCTCAAGGTGAGATCTTTCTGGACTGAGCAACATGGCCACAAGCCAAAGAACATTTGGAATCCCCAGAAACTGTAAGAGGCATGGAAGAATCGTTTCCTAGAGCCTCCAAAAGGATTACGGCCCTGCTGACATCTTGCCCTCAGATTTTCAGCCTCCAAAACTGTGAGAATGAGTCTCAGTTGTTTTAAGCTACTCAGACTGTGGTTCTTTGTCCCAACAGCCACAGGATAATGCAACAGTTGTGCAGGTCGAGACTGCTTGTTTGGCAAACCTTGTTGGTGAAACCTGTTGCCTCCCAAGTTAGAGGGCTTCTTGTCTGAGTACCTCCATGGCTAAGGACCAAGCACAGAGTGGCAGTTCCTCTCCTTGCCTCCCCATGTACGTAGGAAGGGAAAAGAGCAGAACAGCAGGACAAAGAGGTATGCCATGTGACACTTCTAGACCTCCAGTAAATGTGCAGACCTCCCACTAGTTTTGGGGTCCACTGTTATGGTTTGGATGTGGATATGGTTTGGACTGCTCAGGTGTGAGACAGTGCAAGAAGGTTCAAAGGAGAAAAGATTGGATTGTGAGAGTCTCAACCCAATCAGTGAATTCATCCCCTGATCAGGATTAACTGTGTGGTAAGTGAAGGCTGGAGGAGGTGGGCATAGAAGGCATGGTTTTAGGTTCATATTTGTGTCTAGTGAGTGGAGTCTCTCTCTCTGCTTTCCGATCATCATGTGGGCTGCTTCCCTCTGTCATGCTCTTCTGCCATGATGTTCTGTTTCACCTTGAGCCCCAAGGAATGGAGCCAGCCTTCTAAAGACTAGGACCTCTGAAAATCCTGAGCCCTCAAATAAAATTTTCCTTCTCAACAGTTGTTCTGGTCAGGTCTGTTAGTCACAGCAGCAAAAGATGTGAGGGCAGGAGTGGGTGTGGCCCCATAGCAACCTTTTAGCATCAGAAAGGGGATGTTTTCAGAATCATAAGAGCCCTGGCTTGCCCAATGGCATTTGCTGCTATGTTTAAAATCCCCGAGAAAGTATGGCCTTCTGGTCAGCAGGAGAGGGACCTGTTGACCTAGAGCCTCTGGTAGCCCCACATCCCCTTGAATGTGATCAGAGGCCATAAGGATATCCCAGGGCCCTTTCCATTCTAGGGAAGGAAATGCCACAATGGTCACTGAGCTCTGTCTCCATATAGCCTCTGAGTACTGGGGCCCCTGGAATGTCAAGGTCACCTGGAAAACTCCCATCTGTTGTACACTGGTGTACACTTCAGTTGGACCTCAATTTGTCCCTGTGGATTTTAAAAGGGTACCCCACACCGTGGCCCAGGCAGTACACTTAGAAGCTAGTGTGGGGCCAGATGTGAGAGGGATGTGTCTACACTGACCCCTTCACTGTTCAGGTGCACTTACGCTGAATGCTGAAGCAAAACTTCTTCTGCTGGTAGGAGATGTAGCTGGACACAGCACCAATCAGGGCCATGGCCAGGGCACTGGCTACTCCAGCGATGGTGCCAGTCTCTGCTGACATGCCTGGGCACAAAAGAACAGGGAGAGCTTTTGCAGAGCACCTTGGAGCTTAGCTCAGGAGTGGGTTTCTCTACTTGCCCCGAACTAAGCTGGTGCAGATGCCGTAACCCCCATGTCCATGCAAGAAGGCTAAGCCATGGATGTCCAAGGCATGACGGTGACACAGTGCTCCTTGGATTTGCCAAATACTTTTGGTCTTCTATAAAGACTTGCATTTTGAGGAACTTGAAATGTAGACATGGAAATGGTACTGTCCCCGCTCTTACTAAGGCCCAGCCACAGCTCTGGGTCTTGGGTCAACAGTCCCCCTCATTGGACCACCTCCCCTGGGATTCAGATCTTCATGCTAGTTCCTTTTAAAGACTGCACCCCTCTGCTATTTGCCTTATGGCTTCTGCTGAAAACATTCAGGGAAAGGGCAGGGTACACCCTGAGACCAGCTGTGGGACAGCACTATTTTCCTTATGGCTTCCAATGAAACCTTAGGGTACAGATACTCACCAGATCCAGGGTCATCACTGCTGCCATAGCCACCACCACCTGGAGAAAGGACAAAAACAGTGTCTGCTGTGAACCTGCAGCGATGTGGATGGCAGGGCCTGTTTCTTTATGCTCGTCACCTGCAAAGCCCAGGCTTCAGGGTAGAATTGCTCATCATTCAGTTAGCTCCCTAGTTTTTCTCTCTGCTGTCCAATGGGGCAGCTGCACTTAGCACCCCACCTACAAGGGAGGGAGCAGAGGCTGGCAGGCAGCAGAGGTTGAGTACAGGGCAGGCCTGACTGAATGACAACACCATAGGAATGTTGACAGGGGTTGAGGATAGAGGGGGAAGGATTTGGCTGTGTTTCTAAGTGGGTGACATGGAGAATCCTTGTGATGACAGAACTGTTCATCTCCACCATAGTAATAGTAACACCAGTCAACACCTGTGATACAACTCCACAGAGCTCTACACACACACACACACACACACACACACACACACACACACACACAACACTCCCTGACAAGCAATTGGTACTAATTCAGGACATTAATTAGCCCTGAGTTTGTACTTCTTGTCACCCTCTTCCTTTTAGGACCAAATGCTCATTGATGGAAGGAGATGATTTTTTCTGGGCCCAGAGTTCTTAGGGGAATCCAACCTGTGGTGTTGGAGGCTATGGGTTCTGACATTTTCTTTACTAATCAAAGAGTCTTGGGAGGTGTAGGCTAATGGAATGTAAAAAGTGTACCATGGTGGGGGGAGGCAATGATTGCGGGGGGTTGGTGAGGGACAGTGACTATATGGGAACTCCCTGTACTTTGCACTCATTTTGCTGTGAATCTAAAGATGCTCCAAAAAATAAAATCTATTTTTTAAAAAAAAGAGTCAAAGGGCAGGAGAAAATGAGATTTGTTATTCTCCCACCTAGGACTGAATCACGGAATCAGATGCATCTTATAAAGATCTCAGATTGGCTATGAACAGCTATGCACAAAACAAATAACACAGCATTTCTAACAAACACACTTGCTATTGTTGGAGAAAGCAGAGTGGGAAGAAGTGTAGGAGTCACCATATACACTAATGTGTGAGTGGCAACAAGGTCACCAGTGAGTGCTTGCAGAACTACAATGCTGGCCTGTCATTGGTCCCCTCTGCTGTTCTAGAGGTGGCTATTGCCAAGGATAAAGGCAGATATCCACATAGGCTCCCTCTGTTGACACATTCAAGTGGCTAGATTTCCAGGTTTTGAACCCTCTTAGTAATTATTTTTGAGGGAGGGGGTGTGTACCAGGGATTGAACTCAGGGGCACTTGACCACTGAGCAACATCCCATCCCTGTTTTGAATTTTATTTAGAGACAGGGTTTCACTGAGTTGCTTAGTGCCTAACTATTGCTGAGTCTGGCTTTGAACTTACAATCCTCCTGCCTCAGCCTCCTGAGCTGCTGGGACTACAGGATCCTACCACTGCACCCAGCTCTAGGTAATTCTTTAACATAAAGAGAGAATGAAGCTGAGTGTAGTCCCAAGCCTGCTCACTTCCTCATCTCCCCCCAGGGGTGCAGAGAGAGACTGGCCAACAGATCCAAACACTTAGGCTCCTGATTATCTAGCTGTGATTATAGGAAACACTGACTTAAGATGATAACCAAAACTGTAATTCTTTCCTCTCCAAAAACAGGGATCTCATCCTGTGAGGCTAGAGGAAAAATAGAAAAATAAAGCTCATCACCCCAAATCCTGTCCAGTTGAGTTGCATGAACCTTGTTACTGGAGTTAGCCACGCCAAGGTCCTGGCTTTGATAACTCTTTGGCCACTGATCTCTGGTTACTTTACCTGAGCTCAAGCTGAATCCAGCTCCTCTACACAATGCACTCTGCTCAAAAGATGGTCTTGGGACAAGCAAAAAAACCACCGGCATAAAATAAAGTGATACAACTCAGTACCATCCAAGAAAATGAGTTCCCAATAAAAATAAAATGGATGAAGCCATAAAAGCACTAAAAGAAATTTTAGGACAACATTTATATTATCTTAGGGGTAAGGAATGACTTTCAAACATGATCATAAAGCAGGAAACACAAAATGGGAAAGAGTGTACCACATGTATAAACTTTAGTATTAAGAGAACAAGCAACAAAAGGAAAAATAAACTGAATTTTATAAAAATTAAAAACGTTTTGTGTTTCAAAGGACATCATCAAGAAAGTGAAAGATGGCTCATAGAATGGGAGAAAATATTGGTAAATTATATATCTGATAAGGGACTTATATTGAGAATATATAAAGAATTCCTAACAACTCAATAATAAGACCAATAATTCAATTTAAAAATAGGCAAAGGCTGGGGCCGGGGCTGTGGCTCAGTGGTAGAGTGCTTGCCTTGCATGTGTGAGGCACTGGGTTTGATTCTCAGCACCACATAAAAATAAACAAATAAAATAAAGGTATTGTGTCCATCTACAAATAAAAAATATTTAAATAAAATATAAAAAATAAAAATAGGCAAAGGATTTGATGGTCAAAAAGACACACAAATAGCCAATAAGCACCTGAAAAATCAGTCCATGTAACTCAGGAAAGGCACCCCAAAATCATAATGAAATGCCACAGAAAAGAAGAAAGGAGAAAGAAAAGGATGAGGAAAACTGAAATTCTCTTATACATTAGTAAGGACAACTGTTAAACTGTTTGAAAGTACCCCCAGGAATCCATGTACTGGAAACTTAATCCCCAAAGTCATATGTCAATGGTATTTGGAGGTGGGATATTCAGGGGGTAATCAAGGTTAGATGAGGTCAGGAGGGTGGGTCCCCATGATGGCATTAGTGGACTGATTAAAAGAAGGCCAGGGAGGGAGGGTGCAGGTTCAGTGGATTAGACATAGGGGAAGAAAGGGAGGAGGGTGGGATGGGAATGGGAAAGACAGTAGAATGTACTGGACACAACTGTCCTATGCTCATATATGAATACATGATCAGTGAATCACCACATCATGTACAAGCCCAAGAATGGGCAGTTCCAGCCTCCAGAACTGTAAGGTAAATAAACATCTTTCCTTTATTAATTACCCATTCCATGTATATACAATATGTCAAAATACACTCCACTGTCATTATAACTAAAAGAACAAAAATTTAAAAAAAAAAAAGAGGAAGAGGGACCAAGGCTACCATGTTCATTCTGTCCTGCCACATGAAGGCCTCAGCCATGTCATGATCCAGCAAGAAAGCCCTCATCAGATGATGAGCATATGTCAGCATCATGCCGTTAGACCTCCCAGCCTCCAGAACTTGGTACTAAATAAACCTCAATTCTTTTTTATTTGTTATTTTTACTTATGTATGTATGACAGTAGAATGTATTTTGGCATATTACACATACATGGAGGACAACTTATTCTAATTACGATCCTGTTCTTGTGGTTGTTCATGATGTAGAGTTACCCTGGTTGTGTATTCAAATACAAGGCTAGGAAAGTTATGTCCATTTAATTCTGTTGTTCTTCCCATTCCCCTTCTCCCCTCCCTACCCATTGTCTAATCCGATGGATTCTATTCTTCTCTTCCCTACCCTTCTTTTTTGTGGTTTAGCATCCACAAATCAGAGAGAACAATCAGCCTTTGATAAACCTCTATTCTTAACAAATTACCCAGTCTGTGATCATCAGTCACATCAACAGAAAACAGACCAAGACAGATATATATTCAAGACATACGTCCACATAAAAATTTGTATGCCAATATTCATAACAGCAACATTCATAAAAGCTAAAAAGTAGAAAAAATGCAAAGTTGTTTGACTGAATAAATGAAATATTTTTAGAATATATGCAAAAGGCTTCCTAATCCATAATGTAAAATGAACCCTTACCTATGAGAAAATTGGGCCAAGACATGGACAGGCAATTCACAAAATATATTGTCCAATAAGACATATAAAAAGTTTCACTTCTTTTGAATTAAAAAAATGAAAATTTGAACAGGACAGTGTTTTGCTCTGAATGATTTTACAGAGATTACAAAACCGTGATGTTGATGGAGGCAAAGGTCTAAGAAAAAAGGCATCTACTTGCTTCCTCATGGTTGAAATGCAAGATGGTACAACCTTAATGGAATATTTCTTGGCTGTGCCATGCAAAGTCTCATCTTTAAAAACAGATACCTTCTATGACCTAGCAATTTGACTGTTAGGAATTTAACTGACAGAAACAACTGTGCTTTTGCATATTCAGCATGACAATGCTCATCTTGACACTGTGCACAGTAGCAAAAGCTGGGGGAACCCCTCTGTACAAAAACAGGTAGCTGGTTAAAGACATGATGGTATAACATAATATCATGTTGTCACTGACAGGGTATTATAGAACACATTTCAACAATAGACCATGGTTGAATAAAAACTGGTGGTAAAAGAATACAAGGATCACAGACACACTTCTTTACAAATGTATATTTGTGCATAGAAAAAGAACTTCCAGTTTATATTCCAAAGTATTATTGGCCCTTCTCCCTAGATGGCACAACAACAAACTTTTTTACATAATTTTTTACATATGTACACCTTTTTTTTACAGAATTCTAGAAAACTTGTAAATATGTAAGCCCCATATGATCTATTTCTCTCCAAGAGGCTATTTCACAAGTCATTGGCAAGATCTTCATTTTCTAATACAGTACATTTTATCCCACCTGCCTTCCGAGTTCATGATTATATACTAAAGGGACTATGGTACTCTTCTGTCACACCAGAAATTTCCCTGTACAGTGTACTTCATGCTGCAACTTGCTTTCAGCACAGACTGCTATAGCTCTAGGAACCTCTGATCTAACGATAGCCACTGTAGCAACAGTAAGCACCTGCCACATCAGGTCCCAGAGCTACAGGAACCCTGTAGCAACCACCACCACTATAAGGGCAGCTACAGTTATGCTGACCACGATAGTTATAGGGACCCTGTAGAACAGGAGGCACTGGCTAGTGAGAGAGTTGTATGCAATGGTTTCAATATGGTTTGTCCCCTTGGAAACCGGTGTTGAAATCTGATTGC